GAAACAAGTGGTGGACACTTATGGTAGACTTAGGCCAGAAGTTGTGAGCAAAAAAGATAAAATTGAAATCAAAAATTTGGAAAAGTGTTGCAGGCTTTTCAACCTAATAGCTGTGATATAAGTAAATAATGTAGTATTTAGTAATATAAGAAGTTCGGAAGATGAAATGCGTATAGATTGGGGTCTTATTTCAGGCGGTACCGATGAATTAAATGCGATGATGAACCAGCTGTTTCGTGATTATCCAAATTCATATTTCATTAATATCGGTTTTTCGATGGGCGCCAACATCACCTCTCGATTCCTCACTCAAGTCACAGAGGAGCAAAGGTGATCTTTGATCAGTACAATTCGAATTCAGCAAGATTTCCCTGGTTACTGTGTTGTTATCGATTAGTAAATTTGTAATGGATTTCAACCCAAATTCTGACCATTTCACTAAATGTTTTGATACTTATACGTCCAGCGTACCCTTAAGGGGACCGTATAGTAGGCACCATGCGACATCGCGATCTCTGCGCGCGGCACCGTTAGCTTATGGCTGATCTTCGCCGCCGCACACGAGCGACATCAGTAGCGATTACCCCTTCTCATTTTTGAGACTTTCCTGATTCATTGGGACCGTTGCAAAGAAATGTCTTGATCCTATCTAGTTTTTCTCTCAAATATGGCCTTTTCAATCTCTTCGACCCCACCACAATCTCACCTTCCTCCCCATTCTTCGTTGCTTCAGCTTCTCAAAACCCCTAGACTGAAGGGTAAAAGAAAGAGGGGTAAGTATGCTATGCTAGAAATCGTGAAAGTTCTGATTACCTCTCCTTGAATGCTCGCAGTCCAATGCTAGCCCCTCAATGTATGATCCGTTCTTCTAGATGACAAAATGCGACCGTCTTTCAGGAACTACTCTCCTGCCCACGCTTGACCCTCGGGTAGAGTTCGGCGCAAAATAGTTATTGATTTGTTTACAATACATATACAATATACAGTACAAACTATACAAATTGTATAGTAAAGTCCCCGAAACATTCGGCACACCAAAATGAATTCAAAAACTTTGATGAGGGAAAACTGTTTTGAAAAATTGGGAATTTAGGAAGGTGGAATGGGTTTTGAGTCAACTGCCACTTGAGTCGATTTGTGATTAATCTCAAAGGTTGGGAAATCGGAGAGCGAAATTGTCTGACAAATGCTGAGCCAATTTTCTCATATCTTCAGTACTGTTTATATTTATTTTAGAAGGCGCATACTTCTTGGATTAAGTGTGTGCCAAGGATATTCTGCGACCAATTCGGCGCCGATGTATCACGACTGGGAAAATGGACGTCGCATCTACAACTATTTCATCACGGAGAATATGAAGCGTCTTCTACGACGGAATTATGAGCAGGCGGTTGCACCTCACGTCGCTAGTGGCTTGGTTGATGAGCAGGTGGGTGCACCTGAGGTACGAGAACATTGAGCGCTGCTCATAGTGTGCCAGGCTTATCACATATACTAGGCGAGGACACATTCCATCATTGCCTGGGGTGGGTTAATGCGCCCGAAAATGAAGGTTCATGCAAAGAATGGCCCACCAGTAACGAAGAAGTCAGGCGAAGTGTGGAGATCCCTCACAAGTAACCTCCCTTCAAAAAGCGAGAAAGTGTCGGGTGCAGACCAAACACCACAACTGACGACGGCCTCCAAGTAAATCTGGTTAGAAGTTGTTCATAGTGATAGCTGATTTCTGGTAAATGATAGTTGTAATTAGTGACAATCGATAGAATACAACTGCAACAGGCTAATCATTTCATTGGCAGAAAACATTAACATTTTGTGAAGGCCGTCGTCACTTGTGGTGCATGGTCTGCACCCGACACTTTCTCGCTTTTTGAAGGGGAGGGTATACTTTATTCCGAGCAAAGGGGTGGAGATTCTCATTGCTCGGCCTTTCTTCCTACCACGGTATAGGGGAAAGGCCGACCAGTGGGGACGGTGCAGTGTCGCGCCCTCCGATCGATCGAATACAACTGCCAGGCTAATCATTTCATTGGCAGAAAACATTAACATTTTGTGAAGGCCGTCGTCACTTGTGGTGCATGGTCTGCACCCGACACTTTCTCGCTTTTTGAAGGGGAGGGTATACTCTATGCCGAGCAAATGGGTGGAGATTTTCATTGCTCGGCCCCTCTTCCTACTACGGTATAGGGGAAAGGCCGACCAGTGGGGACGGTGCAGTGTCCGCCCTCACGATCATCGCGCAACTTTCCTTTTAAGATTTATGTCACTTCGCTTGACTATTGGCCGACCATTTAGCGCATCTTATTCCATTTTCGAGTGCAATAACGCACACCCAGGCGAACGCGTAATGTGCCTTTAAGTGAGAACTCGTGACAAAGCAGTGAATCCGTGTTCAAATCGATTCCCGGCACACCGTGTGTATTTGTTTGAAATTCAATAAAATGCCTATGAAACTTCAGCGTCTCTGGTCAGCCACTTCAATTGTGGCGTTTGACGAGAACTATAATCGTCGAGTGGCTGGCTTCCAAAGCCTCGAAGAATTCTATTCGTGGTGCGATTCATTACCACATCTTCCGAAACTTAAAGTTCCGATGGTATTCTTGAACGCCGAAGATGATCCTATCGTTCCGGAATGTCTCTGGCAACCAGTCAAGGTACCTATGTTGTTTACTTGCTTTCCCTTCAGTGTTTTTCAAGGCGCAATTCAAGTGGAGTTCAGGTGGATGAATTCTCCTGGTGGGTATGATAGAGTTTTCCGCTGAAGCTACAGATATCCCGTTCTGACGGCTCGGAAGTGTGCAAAAGGGGCGCTAGGATTTTGCGAATACCTCTTCAACCGCTTTCACTTCCTCCCTCCCCCCCCCTTCGCAGCGTGATGGTGTCTGCGCGCTCTTCCGTTGTACTCTCTGGCCTACCCTCTCTTTTCTGTTATCATTCGCTCATTGCCTAAAACAGAAGCTTAGCAAGCCCACGCATCGACATTTTTGACGGATTCCATTATTTTTTCTTGCCCGCCGGTCCAACTCGCTCCAATCCCATCACTTTTGGGTAATGAACCCCACTAATTCGAGCACTGGGCGTGTCCTTTACTAGGTTTCAAGCATGGCTAGCGTCGTTACACCTCTTATCACATATTCCGAGAAGATCCGTCCACCAAGTGACTCCCCCCTCTTTGCACACATAATGCATGCATATCGACATAGATACATACACACAAACATAGACACATACACGCAACACAACCCCTGTTTCCGAAATGAGAAGAACGTCGAGTGCAGACCACACACCACAAGTGACGACGGCCAAGAAAAAAGTGGTTTTTTCTTTTTCTTGGCCGTCGTCACTTGTGATGTGTGGTCTGCACTCGACTCTCTTCTCGTTTTCCGAAGAAGAGATACTTGGGCGGAACACGTCTTATGGTGGGAGGAGCCAAAACCTAAAGTCCTTAGCGAAGTTCATATTATGCTATTACTTTATCACATGTGCACACACCACGGTGTTAGTCCAACTGCGTTCATTGACCTTTTGCTATTCAGGAACTCGCTTCTCAGTCTGAAGACATGGCATTCATATTAACCCGACATGGCGGCCATCTGGGCTTCCTTGAAGGAGGCTCATTTGCACCACATTCCGTTACTTGGCTCGATCGATTCATCGTCGTCATGGCTGATCAAGCCGTGAAAGCCTACGCCTAATAATTTCCCCCAAATTCTCGTTTCATCTAGTCCATACGCCTTTTCCAAGGCGTAAGTATTATTGTCTGATACTCAGCCGGTATTGCTATTTAACATTTATTGTGATGTGCGATCTGATTTTCGTCTCATTTTGTGTCTCACACAGGTTTTGTACATGTTCCATAGCCGGGTATTTTTCAGCGTATTTCTGTGAGTCGTCTTTGACCAAATTTTGGCGCAAAACTTGGGTAGGGTGAGCCGATGACTGTATATGGTAGGCGCCTAATGTACGTAGTGACTGCCACGTGACTCTGATCTTTTCTTTGCAGATTCGGCTTGTCGCCCCATTTTTTTGGCAGACTCGGATTACCCTTTTTTGGCTCAACCGGGGGAATAGAACTTCGGAGAAAGTGAAGACTAGTTACGTACTCTAGACTCCCTCCTCTCCTCAGAGATCAGTCCCAACGATTCTCATAGCATTTCGTGACATTGCTGCGTACATTACACACGTACCGTAGTCGAAAATCGGCTGACCCCCGACCTAGTTTTGCACCTACATCTCGCATCTATTCACAGCATTTGTCACACAGCTCTACTAATCATTCACCAGTGAAAAAATGTGCTATATGTGGTCGAACGGAGCTTTGAAGTACAGATTCTCAAGAGTTCCAGTGCTTAGCGCTAGCTCGTCTGTTTTTGGTTCCCCTAGATATGTAGAAACGGCACTTTAGATGTAGTAGCCTAATAAAGATTATTCAGATGATGTTTCTTAAGACATTGATGGTTCACTGTGTTTACTGCAAGGAACTGATGGGGATTTCGACGAGAAGTTTACACCTCAGTTCGCGTATCGAATCCACAAACTGTCAAAGCACCTCTAAGAATTTGAGATTGATTGGATGGTTTAGAATAGAAGCGAAATTAGCTTTTCGATTGCACATGATCTTTCTGGAAGCCAGAATGCATCCAATTGACTCGCGATTCCGAACAGAAGCCTAGGGCGTGGCGCGCTTTGTGGCAGCCAATCAAGGGCAGTAACATTGTAATCGCTTAGTGTCGTCGTACAGCCCATACTTGAAGGCAGTGAGCGATAATTTCTTCAACAGCTGAAACTGACGTAGACGCTGTACTTGGAGCAGCAGCGAAGAAGAAATCAAGAGAAACGGCAGGAAACCCGTAAAAGCAGCGCTTATTTTGCGCGTGATTTTGAGCGGTACGCGAGATTTTGCAATCACAAACAGTGTCGGTGTGAACGCCGTGTTCTGTCATTTTGTACAACAGCCAGAGCTCATCAGGAAAGGTCATTAGGCCGGTCCTGGCCATTTGCAATGAGCTCTATACCTTGCACTCGCCTCGAGACGCTGAGCTCAAAACTGTCTTCCCGATCTGCTAAACGATTTTTTGAACGGAGTTATAAAGCAAGGAAGCGCAGCGGTAGTGCCCTGTCTCGCAGGCAAGAGGTTGTGAGAACTGCTCGTACTCTTTATACAGTCAACTAATGGCAAGTGTCGGTAAACTAATGAATTAAGAAGCCGCATTGACATTGAAAAACAAAAAAGCAGGATCCTTGGAAAACCGTTCCACCACCTCTTGCCTGCGAGACCGGGGCACTACCGCTGCGCTTTCTTGCTTTGTAGCTCCGTTCAGAGAACCACTCAGCAGCAGTATTGAGCTCAGCGTCTCGAGACGAGTGCAGCGGTATACCGCTCTCTGCTGATGGCCCGACCGACGTGATGACCTTCCCTGGTCAGATTGATAATGGTCGGCTATGGTTGCTGTTCAGAGGCGGATCAAAAGGACTGTACTTTTTAAATTGCTTCATCGCACTAATGTTTGCGGAGTGTGGATGGTAAATAAATGAACTAAAAACGGCTTTCTTGCTTTTCATGGCGCGAAACTTTTTTCGCTGCGAGAACCCCAGGTCCAAGGCTTGTCAGTAATATGCACAGCTCCACGACAGATCTTCTTTTATATCGACCATGATCAAGACGAGGCTGGAAGCAATTTTTAATGTCAATGCATAATAATCGTTTACGGATACGAATTAAACAGCAAAACGATCGCACATTTGGAAGGAAATTGTTCGTTTTTAATTGTAAGTGTTGTTGATTGTTAGAAGCAATGTCGAAATCGACCACGATCGGGTCAAATTTCTTCCAGTAAGTGTGAACTGTGGCACATATATTGGGTCGCTTCATAATCCTTGTCCGAATTTTGACACTTTTGCTCACTCGAGCTTTCTTTCTCCTAGAAAGCGAATGATCAACTGCATATCATGATCTCGCTGATATGTACTTGTTTGCTCGGGAATGTTTGGGAGCTTCTCGCCCAAAATGTGTAAAGTGAGGGGTTCAAGGCTTTGGAGAGGTCGTTTTGTGGTGGTCGTATTCCTTAACCCTCTCTCTTCTCCCGCAGATGCTGATTCAGGGCGCACGAGAATGGATAGTCCGTTGGAGCAATGCCAGTGCTATATGGTGGATGTGGAACACCGGCCTTCTCCCTCAGAACGTGGCGAGTTGGCATAGCAATGTACTGCGGGCATTCATCCGCAGAAAAGAGATTCTGAGACATTTCGGACGGTCTTCTCGCAGTAATGAAGCCAACCTGGAAAGTTATTCGCGCTGGCTTTCGCATTACTTGTCTTTGTACAGTGGAGTGGTTCCCAAACCAGGCCACCCAGCGAACACAACAAACCAGGAGTAATATTGCTAGAATAGGAGTCTGGACTTTGGTTGAGCTGGAGCTTCCCGAATGCGGGGTGTTTATCAGGCGTGTCGCGTGCGTCGCAGTAGGCTCAGGATTGGTTAACAGAACTTCATTCTGCTGCAGTCCATTCCATCCTGATGGCCTGTGAAGGTGCCTTGGTTACGCCCAGCTATCTGCTAGAATGATTTGGTGGTAACGTCCGGATGCATTTAATGGTGTAAGAATC